GGCATTGTGAGTTGGGGAATTGGTTGTGCCCAGCCTACGAAACCCGGTGTGTACTCCAGAATTACCAAACTCAAAGACTGGATCCTGGATACCATCTCACAGTTGCCCAGTCCTGGCACAGATACCCCTTCCAGTTCAGCTATCACTAGAACTTCTACTGCAGCCATCCTCACCCGCCAGCCCAGCACAACAGCTGCAAGTCCAATCAACAGAACCACCCTGGGGATGAAGACCACAACCGTGAAAGAAACTTCCACAGCTCTGAAAACCACTGAGCCTGCCAAGCCCACCCAAACTCCAGGTAAAACTGACGACAGATTTATTGACGTGTTGGTAGGAGACCTCCAGCCCCAGCACAGAGGGTACTGAGCAGGCCATGGGTTATTGCCTTCCAGTGGTGCCTTGTACCAGCCTCACCTTCAAGTGTTCCAGCAAGGTCTGTATTGGAAAAGAAAATCCCGAATGTGATGGCATTGTTGACTGCAGCAACGGCTTCGATGAGCGCAACTGCGGTGAGTACTGCTTTGCAGCCTGCAACTGCTGCCCAGTATTATTCTACATTACCCAGACTCTCCAGTGCAACCCACCAACTTCACATGGGCTGTCTTGGGCCCCACGTTGTACACTGGGGGCCTGGGCCAGCCCCTTGTGGTCCAGGTCATACTTGGTCTGCCAGAGCCTATAACAAGATAAAGCTGGATGAGCAGGGTCCAAATTTTCTGCCAGGGAATGTGGCCTCTTCTCCTATGCTATAAACATTAGAACCCATTTCCCAGCACACAAGCCTTCTGACCAGTCTGCTAGTACAAGCTGGCAAGACAGCTCTGCACAACGTGGCAGCCCAGAAGATATCTTGTCACCCCCGGGACTGCTCCTTGGACTGCGCATTCCTTGCTGTGTGACAGCTCAGCCAGTCCATCCAAACATCCCCTCCTCACACATCACATCCCTGCAATGTGTGATCTGTGATAACAAGTAAAAGTTCCCAAACCATACCATGTCTGCCAAGCCTTGCCTCAGATGGGTGAATGAAATTCATCACATTCTACTGCCCTGCGTATATCTCCCCAGAAGGCTGCCCCATGGCACGGGCTATGGAAGGAGGGCAGCTATCCCTTTCACTTATGGTTACTTAAAACCACGGTGCCTCTTCCTCTGTCTCAGACTGTGGCTTAACAACTGCTCTGGCCTTCAGCAAGATCGTGGGTGGCAGCACTGCAGCTCGAGGAGAATGGCCCTGGCAAGTCAGTCTCTGGCTTCAGCAGAAGGAGCACAAGTGCGGGGCTGTCCTCATTGCCGACCGGTGGCTGCTCTCTGCAGCTCACTGCTTTGATATGTAAGTCTAAGATGGGCTAGTGAAGCCAGCTGGCTCTTGGCCTCACTCCCGTCAGCCCACCTGCCCTTCCCCTTCCTCGCAGTCCAGCACCATGGCTGGGATGCTGTGCCCCACCAGAAGCACACACTCCCTATTACAGATGTGCCCCTACAGGTAAGCGTGAAGAGGAATGAGTGGAGCAAAGCCCGAGTATGTCCACAGTGATGGAGACAGGGGTCCTGGCCTCACAAGGTGTGGCCATAGCGCATCCCAGCCCCACAAGTGGAGGAACAGCCCTCCTTGTGAGGCCATGCTCCTAACAGCCAGGTTTGCTGTCTTTCTGCAGTTACAGTGACCCCAAAATGTGGGTGGCCTTTCTAGGAACACCCTACCCAAGTGGCATCGATGGCAAAATGGAGAAAATATTCCGTATCTACAAGCACCCTTTTTACAACATCTACAGCCTAGACTACGATGTGGCACTGCTCGAGCTGAACATGCCCGTCAAATTCAGCAACACCATCAAACCTATATGTCTCCCAGACAATTCACACATCTTCCATGAAGGAGCCAGATGCTTCATCACAGGCTGGGGCTCCACAAAGGAAGGAGGTACTGGCTGAGAGGGCTCCCTCACAACCATGATGGCCAAGCTAAGTGCCACCTACCCTGTGAGCCCAAACATCTACAATTCCCACTCCACTGCCCCAAGCACTCCCCATGCCAGGCCAGACCCTGCAGGGGATACCAACCTGTGCAAGGCCTGGTGTCACCACAATCTCCTCCCCAGCTGCCATGCACTGTACTCCTCCACTTGGTTACACCTCTGCCCTCTTGCAGCCTTCCCAAGCTTTCTACATGCCCGCCACTGTGCTCCCCATCCCTGTAGCAGCTGCTCCAGCTGTGCTCCTGCAGTACAAGGACCACCCTGATACCATTTCTATCTGGTCAGCTGAGCTGCCTGACAAACTACACACAAAAGGGACCTTCCTGTGCTTGCTCTGCTGGGGAGGAACCAGGCCTGATTCACTTTCCTAGTGCAGGTCTCTCCCTTTGGCAAGCAAGTAAGGCCGCAGAGACCCCACTCCTACAGATGCTGCTGCTTCTCACATGCTCTGCACCCAGCTAACAGCGATACTTGTCTCCTCAGGTCTCATGTCAAAGCATCTACAAAAAGCAGCAGTGAACATGATTGGAGACCAGGCCTGCAAAAAGTTCTACCCTGTCCAGATCAGCAGCAGGATGGTGTGTGCCGGTTTCCCACAGGGCACCGTCGACAGTTGTTCAGTGAGTGCGAGAGCAGCAAATGCTGCAGCTGGGACAGAGCAAACTTGTGCAAAGTCCCTGGGCTACATTCTTTCAGGAGGGCCTTGCCCTGCCTCCCCTAGCTCAGCTGTCTGTCCATCCACCTCCGCTGGCTGTTGCCATTATCCAAGTCCATCCTGCATACACCTCGTTCTGCTTGCCCCACGAACCTGTGACAGGTCAGGGAAACATGCAGAGAGGTAATACCAAGCAAGAGACCACAGGGATACCATGGAGCCCGTTTCATGACCCTGTTGTGCTTCTGAACACACTCTTCCGTGTTCCAAAACCCCACCTCAGATTGCACATGCAAGTACATCACTGAGCAGTCCTCCAGCTTGGAAGCAGGCTCCTGGGGAGGTGGGGAACAGGACAGCAAGTGCTCCTTTGCCCCAGAGAGAAAGAACATCTCACAGCTGGGGGGACTGGGGGGGCTGCTTTTTTGGCTTGATACAGGACCCTTTTCCTCTCTCTGCAGGGCGATGCAGGTGGGCCCCTGGCATGTAAAGAATCCTCAGGGAAGTGGTTTCTAGCAGGAATCACAAGCTGGGGCTATGGCTGTGCCAGGCCATACTTCCCTGGTGTCTACACCAAAGTCACAGCTGTCCAGGGCTGGATTGCACAGCATCTCAAGCTCTGAAGCTGCATTTTGCCACTCAGGGAAGGCGACAAATGAGAGGAGTAATTGCCAGAGGATGCACTAACCCCTCAGCTATTGTACATTTTTTTTGATGCTGCAAAGGGACGAAGATGGCCTGCAGGTATTCAGCAAATGCCAGTGTTGTGTGACCCACTGCCGTTGTGACACCAGAGCATTTGATAACTGCTTTGTGTAGAAAGGTACAATTCTAGACATTTTCTATAAATAAATGAGGCCTGTCCCATCTTAAGACCTGGCCAAACATCCTACACATTAAAACGTGGCCTTTCTAGTTGGAGGAATGCCTGAAACATCTACCAGAGATTCACGTAGTTTGGCTGACCTCTGTCTATGAGCTGTCATCCCAAAGCCACACCAAGAGACAAGTCGACTTTGTCCCAGCCCAGAGTCACGCCCTTGCAGAAGCCTCAGACCTCACTGGCTTGATGGAGCTGTTATGTTGTGCAATGGCTTTTGGAAAGGGTATGCTACTGTTTCCACTCAATGCTTGGTACTAGTAAGCTCAGTGACGATCCCCTGGCTCACCATTTGATCACAAGAGAAGGTAGGACTAAAACACTTGGACTTAAGACTGCAGAGGCCCTTATCTGCATTAGAGAATCAGGACAGGCTTCTCACAACCCCCCACACCCCCAGCTCCCTTTGCATAAGGGAACAGGTGATTAAATTGACAAAGATTAAGGCATAGCCACACAGACCACTGTTCTGGTTAAGCTAGGTGGGAAAAATTCAAAGTGCTGAGATAGTGGCCCAAGGATACAACTCCTTCAGTGGGAAGTGAGGTCCCACTAGCCAGCATAAGGCACACAGACACCTTTGTTCACAAGAAAAAACTGCTGCAGAGCTCATGTGTCAAGTCTTAGGCAGACTTAGACATCGCCTCATAGATTCGACCACCAAAACTGAAGAGCAGCTAGTACCCCAAACCCCTTCCTAGTCTTTGGCACTTAAGCTCTGCATCTGGGTATAGCAAGAGGTTTATTCTTTCCCAACCCAGCTGGCAGTGAGATCTACCCTTTCCCAGCTAGAGCACTAGCAAGGTGGAACACCTGGCTTCCAGGCATGGCTCAGCTCAAGATGGGTTCAGATCCATGGCTGAAACACTTGTTGGATGGGATGCTCCCATCAATGAAACAGGACTGCTGCACAGCCAGTACCACAAAATTCATACAGCCATAAAGAAAAGTAAAAAGGCCTCTAAGCAAACGTGGCTGAAAACTCCATTCAGTTTCAATTAGTCCAAATATCCAGTTATTTCCTAATAGTTTACCTTGTGTGAGAACACTTTAGTTCCTTCATAGAAGCCACCACATTGGGAGATTAAATTAAATCAGGTTCTCCCACATCCCTTTGAATGTCCTAGCAGCTAAGGAGACGTCATCCTTCCAGTCTGTCTCCCTGCCCCAGCAAACAGTGAAATATTTTATAAAATATAGAAGAGCTTCAAAAGAAGGGATTTCAAAAATCTCACTACGGGGGCATGGGCACTTTTAATCTCCAACACTCTCCTCTTCCAGCTGCTGTGCATACTGCTGACTACACAGCATATACCAACCTTTCCAGGAGAGGTGTGTAAGCCAAGAACAATACAGAGCTCAGCCCCAAAGCAGACCCACGTCCTCTGTTGCAGAAGTGCTCCTCCCCCAAAAAAATGATGCCTAGAAGGTAGGGTCCAAGATGGAACATCTGTGCCAGAGCCAAACCAGAAGTTACAGAATATCACAGCCACACAACACATTTTATTCTATAAAGAAATCAACCTAAGTACTTCCCAACCCTTTTCATCCCCAGTTGTGCTTGTACCACTATTTGCAAGGCTGTGCTGCAAACCTAATAAGAGCACCCCTGCTCCCCAACACACTGCTTGAGCTGAGTCAAAGCCTATGAGCCCAAAAGCAAGCCCCACATATATCTATACAAATACAAAGGAAGAAAGAGCCAAGTATGGCATGTAGAGCATCTTATGGCAGCTTTTCCACTGATGAAAAGGGACTGGGTAACTACCTGATGGCTGGGTCCATGCTCGCTTCCTGGGCAAGGGGACTCTGTTGCTGGCTTGGCCCCCCTTTTCCACAGAAGGATCCTTGCCTCTCGCAGCCCTTTAAGCAGGGATTTATCAGCTGCTATATGCCTTGGCCAGTCTGGACCGTTGGGAAGGGCGTGAGGCAAACCAAGCAGCTCACAGTGGCTCTCAAGGCTGGAAAATTCACTCGCTCCTGGGGCTGGTGCTAATAAAAGCCAATGGATGCAAAAGGTTCAGCGAGGGTTTATTGCTCTGCCATGGCAGGGGCTGGAAAGGCAGGATTTCGCCCCCAACCACCTGGACTGGCCACTCGTCCCTTCCCCACATGGTCCCTCCCTGGTCCAGGAGCCAGGGCGCTTCACATGTTGGCTCTCTCCCGCTGCAGCCGAGAGTTGTAGGCTCGGGAAACCGTGTTCCAGGCGTCCATGTACCGGTCCATGCACATGGCGATGCACTTCTGCGGGACAGAGAGCCTTCAGCGGTCGCGCCGGTGGGTGGCCCGCGGGTCCCCGCTTCTCCCCGACCGCGCTCACCTGCTCCGAATTGTCCAGCGCGCCACCGGGCTTCCCGATGCACTTCCGAAAGCACTTGTCCGTCATGCGCTGCGGAGAAAGGCCGTGAGAGG